CAGGCCCAGGTCTAGCGTGTGTGTATATTTAACAGTTCTTAGAGTGACTAGTTTCTCTCTTATAAAAAGCCAGTGAAATGACCTGGGTGGTCATAATTAACATAGCTGGGATTCTTGTAACATACTGATTAATTTGAGATATAAACATGCATTAATTTGCACTAGACAAAAACAATTTTAGTACGTAATCAGAATTAGTACATGTGTACTCCAGCTTTTCACTTAGAAATCTATGTAAATCTACCCAAAAATACAGTTTTGAAAGCTTTTTTTTATAAAATGTATTGCAGTACTGTTACTAATGTGCTGTTTTTTATCTCTTGAGCAAAATATATGGCCGTTTATATTCAAATTATTGGCTGTCTTGAGATTCAGCAATGCAAATTATAATCTAACTTTAGTCTGAGATATTATATAGACAAAACTGTAAGCCTAAAAGCCTGGCTGGGGGACTGGCCAACTCCACCCAGCGGGGGTGATGCTGATAAGTTTGAGGTCTCTGTGTGTTTATTTAACAGTCTATAGCTTCTCTCCTTTTGATGCCAGTGATATGATAGGAAAATATAATTAACATAGCTGGGTTCTTGTAGATAGATTTGTTTGAATATAAACCACGTTGTAATTAGCACTAGACATAACAATTTTAGTAATCAAAATTAGTACATATAGACCATGTAATTTTATTTTACATTCATTTTAGTATAGTTATTGTGAATGTAAATGGGTGGCATCACAATAGAAGAAATTTATGTAAATCTGCACCCAAAAAGCCAGTTGAAAACTTTTTATAAAATGTACTACAGTATTGTCACTATTGTACTTTTCTATTTTCTTTATATCTTGAGTAAAAATATATAGCGTTTATATTCAAATTAATCTCTGTCTTGCAGGATTTCAGCAATGCAAATTATATTATCTAACTTTAGTCTGAATGTTATATAAAATAAACAAAAAATCACCAATCTTTTATCTTGAACACCAGGGTGGTGGGAAGACGGCGGGGATGATAATCTGGCGTTTGTTTGTTTATTTATTAGAGATAAGATTTGACAGTTAGGCGTTGAGGTACCTTATAGTGTTTATTTATCGTACTTAAAGTGATAGCTCTTCTCCATAATTATCCACCCAAACTGACCTGGGTGAATATAATAACTGATGGAGGATTCTTGTAAGATATTTGAATGTTTTTTTCAATTTATATTTTAATTGTTTCTGTTCCTTGATAGAGCGGGATCAAAGATGCTGTCACTTGTTTTCTTCCATATACCAAACCAACTGGCCAGTGTCACGGTATACAGTCATCCCATGGTTATCCGCCTGAGTGGGACCCTCACGATAACGAAGTGCAGAACCTGTGGGATTTATTCTAATGGTTCACGCACCCATTTTTACGACCATTTTAGACCCACTAAATATATATATAATGTTATGGTAACATAAACACATAGAGCATGGCTAGGTTTATTTACAAGAGTGAAACTAAAAGAATGCACGCTTAATACTGTGATCCACAAAACACGTAGCTATGCTTTTTTTATTTTGGTCCCCGTCATCTGAGTTAGTTTTCTCTCATCAGGCCTTTCAGGTTCTCCCGTTTTCTCTTAATCTTAGAGTGCACAGAAACTTTGCTATTTTAGTAATGCCACAGAATTTGAAGTGCAACCCCAATTGCAACTGGGGTTTGCAATTATTGAGCAACTAGATATGTCTGATTGCAGCAAATGTGTTATTGTCGAATTTGTAGGTGCAAGATTTTATCACTCCAATAGATGTGGGTAACATTTCACCTGTAGGCAAATGAGCCTAAATAAGGAAGCACATATTCCTTAACACATAATATCCGACCAGTATGGGAGGATCATCGCTGTGCGTCAGGAGTGGTGCAGTCCAGCAAGCCACGTGTTTTATTTTTGGGGGTGGGGTTAAATGACTTATAATATCGACGGTCTCGACATTAACCTATGATGACTGTGTATATATATATAGGCTATATATATATATATATATATATATATATATATATATATATATACATATATATATATATATATATATATATATATATATATATATATATATATATATATATATTGCCAAAGACTTGATAAGAACAATATCAGATTCACAACAAAATTGAACCTAACTTTTAAGGTAAATAAGGATGTATTCCTGATCTCAAGAAAATTTAAATTTCATACAACGCAAATCCTTTTAAACCCTTCACGATGTCACTTTTATATTTTATTTGGTCACAGACGATATTATTCAGCACAGAGAGATCCTGTACACATAGTGGGTTAAGATTCAAATTATAGATGAATATTATTCATTCCCAAACACGCTGCACTGAACATAGTTATCTTGATTACATAAGGTAAAACATGATTGATCCAGTACAATACAGTGCAGTGCAGTACAATAGACAGTCAAGCACAGCCCAACTTACACTGGCTCCACATTTAAATCAATTTAGACTTTGCATTTCTTCATCAGCTGTGGTAAAGAAGATCACTTCCTTTGTCCCCAAATCTGATGTAGCAGGTTGTGATTTTTATTTTATCTTATTTATTTATATCATATGTTTGATTCTTTGAAGCCACTGTGTTAGTTGTGAAGGCAACATAACATTGTATTGTTGTGTAAGAACTTGGCGTAGTAATTCT